CAAGAACAGTCTCACCATAGTAGGCCAGTGGTTGGCTTCACCCTACCGTTCTGCCTCCCTTGGAGAGGGATATACCAGTGCATCTCTTTAATGCTAGGGTGACCACACATCTAGGTTCTCCTGCGACAGGATGGGTCTATAACTGTTGTCCAGGCATACTTATGAATCGTGCCTGCTTTCACTCTCAAAAGTATTAACAGATTGGATAATGAATTGTATGGTCATATTACTTACTGCCCCTATTGTAGCACTCCCATCTGTTAGGTGACCTAACACATTTTTAGTCTGTACCATCATTTTGGGGTAATGAGTTCAGGAAGATTACCCCCCATCGTGTAAACTAATATTTACTTTTATCTATCCTGAAATTATCCTTCAAGCATGGAATCACTCCCAGCTCAAACCCTGGGGCTTGGTGAACAAGCTCATTTTCATGCTTTTATAAATTTTAGTCTTGTCCACACCAGGCCTTTGTCCATCCAGATGGATGCCCCTAATCTGAGTCTATTCAAGGAGACCTCCTCCCTCTAATCATTAGTTTTCCTTGTTAATCAGGCTGTGGTAGTATTTGAAGGCAACTCGTCTGGCTGTCTGGAAAGTGGTGCACAATGGCTCGTCCTTTCAGGGACTAATGAAAAGCCATCTGGTGGGTGCAGGGCTTTCCAGCTGTATTATAATTTTTTTGAATTAAACAGTTTTGACCACATAGAGACTAAAGGGCAGGGGCTCTGCCTAGGTGGCCCATAGTAAGACCTCCATTTTCTGCTTGCAGGAAGAAAAAAGGCAGAAAAAGAACAAAGAAGAAAAAAAAAAAGAAGAAATCAAAGAAAAAAGGAAGAAAGGAAGGAGAAAAGTAAGCTCAGTGTACACAGTTAAGAAGCAGTGTTATAAATTCAAATGTTATAAATTTGCAAGTAAAAAAAGAACTTTGCTATTTTCTATCCCAGCCCTGAACCTGAAGGACCAGGCATTAAGTGTTTGTAAAAAAATTCCCTAGAAGAGTGTGTTGAATGGATAAGGCAACTTTTTCTCTTCCAAGAACAGAATTTTTATAGAGAAAAAAATAGTCAAGAAGTATTTCTTGAGTAAAGAATGGAACATTCTGTAATAGAATACCTTATCCTTGAACTTTGTATTTCTGGTTTAGAAGTTAGATTTATTTAAAAAAAAAAAAAAAAGTACAAATACCTCCCATGTGCAAGGTGTTTTGCTAGGCGCTGAAAATAGCTGAGCTGGATCTGATTTCAGGTCTTGTAATTTCAGAGATTACAATTTGTTTTCCTGTGGAACAGCAAGACAGAATAATAAATTATAGCTCTCCTGCTGAACTTTACTGGTTTCTATTTGTATCTAACAGTTATAAACATCATGTGATTGCGTCTTTATCTTACCGTTGCAAGAACTCTTCAATATTAGGGAACCCAGTTCTTTCTCCCAAGAGAATTGCAATCCACTGAGGAAGCCGACTGAACATGACATATACATCTATCGTATATATTATTTGGACCCCAGTAATTTAGAATTGCTGGACATTTGGACATAGGCTGGGTTGAAGTTCAGCTATATTTCATCTTAGATCAAAGGGTTTACTAAATCAATGTCAACAAGACTTTATAGAGAGAAAGCTTTATATTTTTAGAAGAAGAAAACTTTTTTTTTTACAAACTATGAGTCACATTTTTTAAGCAAATTATTTTTATTAAGTACTCGCTGTTCTAGCTATTTATAAAAGCAGATCATGGTAGATCTCAGCTGAAGAGCACTGTAGAAAGCACTGGTCTAACGTTGTTCCTTTTCTCTTGAAAAATTAATGTTTATATTTTTAATTTACAATTTAAATGCACACTCTTCTCAGATAGTTTGATTTTGGAGGCTTTATTATGGATACAGAGCTCTGGTGGCACAGTGGTTAAGAGCTCAGCTACTAACCAAAAGGTCAGCAGTTTGAATCCACCAGCTACTCCTTGGAAACTCTATGGGGCAGTTCTATTCTGTCCTACAGGGTCGCTATGAGTCGGAATTGACTCCACGGCAGTGGGTTTGGTTCTGGTTTTGTTGTGGATACAAATAACAAGAACATGTAGATTCATGTACAACCAATTCTAAGTACTTAAGGGGTTGCTGGGAGACTGCAGTTAGTGGAGGAGAGATTATTGCTGGATACTGCATAAATTCTGAGCAGAAATATGAACAGTATCTGCTTGATAAATAATGTTGGGCTCTGGAGGAATGCTCACCTTTTAAGTCCGGCATCATGCCAAGGGCAGCATACACAGAACTTTCCTTTATGAGGAACTGTTTCTTGGGGCTAAATTTTAATTGTTCTACATGTGTTTTAAATGTGAGCCTGAAGGCGTAGCCCCAGCCCCGTCTTAATACCCAGATAAATAATGAATGTTGCTAATTACAAACGTGCTCAATTTGGCTTTCCGAAGCTGTAGCTCTGAGACAAACTGTGCCTTGCCTAATTTGGAAATATTTTCTTTCTCTTTTTTATTTTGACATGTACCCTGCTATCTACTTTCGTTGCTATTTCTAGCATCCCACGGGAGCGCCTCCATGGTTGTCATAGCGCAGAGAAACACGCAAGAAAACCAAGAACTCAGTGCTTTCATAAAGCATTTATTTTTATTTGAAAACATTATACAGGCATTACATTGCCACAGCCAGTCCATAGGGGAGCATGCAAATATCAAAAATGGGGAGTTTGTTCAACTTATCAGTGTAAATTTCTTTTTTTTTTGGTTCATATTTTCCATTTGTGGTGTCAGGATTAGTGTGCTTCTTATGTGGCTTAACAACAGAATCCTACCCATGGGGTAAAATCTGTACTGGTAACTAGCTGGGGACTACTAAATGGTTATAAATCAAAACCAAACCCAAAACAAACATTACTACACATTTCTCAAAAGGTTAATAGCACAAGTTAGCAATATCTAAACTAAACATCGAAACATTTTCATGGGACACAGTGGTGCAAATTATTCCGTTGCTTGGTCTACCTGGTTGTGTGTTTCAGAGTTTGAAGCTGTGAGGTGACCAAAGCAAGCTCTGTCCCCAGTGCAAGTTGTCACTGAGAAAGTGAGAACCACCACTTATCTCTAGCAGGGTTTAGGAGAGCTGTGGTTTGCTTACCCAACCAAATTCTACACAAATTGCTCAAGTCTCATTTGTTGAGGGGAGAGTGGTGGGGGATATAAAAACTGAATATTTTGCTGGTGTCTATTGAGTTATGAAATTTCAGAAACGAAAACAGCTAGAGTTAATGTTGTCCCTCTCCCATTCCCACTCCACTCCCGAAGGATCAATGCTTTCACCCAGAAAAAGAATTTGTTCTTCGCTATTTTCGTTTTCTTCTAAAGGGTCAATCTGGAACTCCTGGTCTCAGACAATTCAATATGTTAGCAACCTTCCTAAATGGAAACAAACCAACAGTGAGGTACTCCAGTGACGTAAAAGTCTTGTGTACAGGGACACTGGATGATAAACGGTATACAATAAATTCATCTTAACATTCACACTTGGTTTCCATACAATGGACTCAATTAAAATATCCTATAAAATAATTCAGATGCCAAAACTGGTAGCCATCTGTCAATTGCAAACCTTTTTGAAGTTTAAATTTTAAAAAATCCCAGTCCACTGAGTGAACTTGGAAATACTTTCATCTATTTGTTCTCATAAGACTTTACTAAGCGTCTACAAGTTAGTGTCATAAAAATGAATAAAAAAGACTAAAACATTTGGCTTAAAATAAATACTAAAAATGCAATAAATCAAGCGAATTATGCAAACCAAAGAAATGTAAACACAAAAATAAAACCACAGTCTTTAAAGGTCTTTCAGATCCGAATGGACAAAATATTCAGAGAAAGGTATTTAATTGGTTGAAAAGGTAGCAGAGAGCAGAGTTGGCAAAGTTATTTTGATTGGCTATAGCTTTAGCACTGATTTTTTTTTCATAGAAAATGAAACATGTTTCTAACGAGGCTGAACTGAGATGACCATGAAATTAGCATATCAGAGAAGATAATTTTTCTTCTTTCCAGTCTCCAAGAGCAGAACCAACTGCCCTGTGCAGAAGGCAGGCGGAGAGGCCACATGGTGTGGACTGACAGCACAGGATGTTTTGCCTGCAGTATTTAGGCCTCACTCAAACGATCTATGAAGAAGCCCTGGTGGTGCAATGGCTAAACCTTGACTGCTAACTGAAAGGGCGGCGGTTTGAACCCACCAGTAGCTCTGTGGGAGAAAAGACCTGGCAATCTGCTCCCGTAAAGATTCTGTCCTACAGGGTCACTATGAGTCGGGATCGACTTGCCAAACACAACAACAGGCTCCGTGGGAATCCTTACTGTGCTGCAATCTATTCTTCTGCTCTACAGAGATCCCACTGTTGTTTTGTTTTACTTGTTTGCTTAAGGTGTACTGATTAGAATTCTCCAAAGTTTCATAAACATTTACTTATACTTTACAAATCCCGTAACTCCATTGAGGATCTTTTTGAATGGCACTAAAGTCAACCAAACTTAAATAGTGTTTTACCTACTGACAGGCAGAACTATTCTAAATTATAAAGGTCTGTGGGGCCCTCATGGTGCAGTGGTTAAGCACTCAGCTGCTAACCAAAAGGTTGGCAGTTCAAACCCACCAGCAGCTCTGCAGAAGAATGATATGGCGGTCTCCTTCTTTAAAGATTACAGCTTTTGAAACCCTATAGGGCAGTTCTACTCTGTCCTATAGGGTTGCTATGAGTTGGAATTGACTTGATGGTAAAGGTTTGGTTTGGTTTTGGTGGTGTTTCTAGGTCCCTGGGTGATGCAAATGGGCTCGCTTTTGGCTACTAACTGAAAGGCTGGCGATTAGAACCCACCCAGTGGCACTGCAGAAGAAACGTCGGGCAATTTGCTTCTGTAGAGATTATAGCCAAGAAAACCCTACGGAGCTCAGTTCTACTCTGTAACACATGGGGTCACTATGAGTCAGAATTGACTTGGCAGCAATGGGTTTGGTTAGTTTTTGGTGTTTCTTGATTTCCTGTGTTTGAAAAAAGAGCTGTTTTAAGGTAAAAAAAAAATTAGACTAGTGGTGTATGACTCAAAGCCTTATCAAGACCCTGTAATATTTTTGTATCCATAAGAAGGCTGTGTCTTAATATATTCTGTGACTGAATGGATATCAAATATGAGCAAAATGCCAGACTTTTTAAAGTGTTCAAATCAGTTACTTTCAGAGACTGCTCCATATCAGCACCTTGACTTTGTTAGGAGGCGGCACAACCAAAGATACTTGCAGAAAAGGTCGTTTTCATGCTGGGGTATTTCAAAACGGTGGCACATAATCAAGAGAGGAAAGGATCCTGGTTTTTTTCAAATGCCTTGGTTAATTTCCATATTATCACTAAGGAAAATTAGAAAAAGAAAGAAAATAGAATATGTATGTATATATTTGAAGAGAGGATACAGGGTGGGAAAGAGAGATTAAAAAATATATATATTATCCTAAACACAAATGATATTATTTCTGAGGTTTCCCATAAACCACAGAAATGGAATACTCCTTATCTTGTTATTATAGGGACTTGATTAGCAGAATTGCGTGGCACAACAGAAAGGCAAAAGCCCGGAGTAATCACAGATTGAAATATAAAAAGGCTAAAATGTTTGTTTTACATCTATTCCTAGAATAGAGAATTATATGGTCAGTTGCCCCTCCCCACAAGTGTCACAGCACAAAATACGTATTGAGCAGGCAATCCAACAGGTAACAGAGGAAACAATTAGCCACCAGGTCCCTAGATAAGGAAACTTCTTGGGAGTGGAGTTCCTGTGGCATGCATCACAAGGATAGTTTGTGCAAAAAAAAAAAAAGTATGATTCTTAAAAAGTGACTTGCCATAGAAAAGTGGGAGTTACGTTAACTACATGTGGGTCTGGCAATAGTTCCCATCAGGAGTACAAAACATCCTCCTGAAAACGGGCGTAATAACAGTAACACTAACAATACAAATAATAATAATACTTGCTTCTGATTCCAAACTTTTCACAGTAATTGATGCAAGGGGTTTGTGATCAGGATACACACTAGACAGGCATCTCCCCAAGTTAGGTGGATTGGAGCATGCGTCTCCAGTGACGTTTAGCTTGTTCCTTTTACAGGCTTTCCGATTGGCTACCTTGCAGTCTACCTGTGTAAACTGCACCTAGTAAATACCTTTCTCTATGTACAATACAGAGATGATGGGTGAACATGTGGCCACTGAGCTGTCCTCAGCAGGCAGGGAGGGCCTCATCCTAGGCCACGTGGACATGGGGCTCCTCTTCTGTCTCTTGGCCCAGGCTGGTGTAGGTGACTGAAGGCTCCACCTGAGCTGTGGTTGGTAAGTCCACAACAGGTCCCGAAGGATTGCGGAACTGCTTGTATACTCGGGGGTCCTGGGCTATGTACGTTGAGGTGGAGGAGTAGAGCACCAGCCCGATGAGGATGGTGAAGAAAGACAGAAGGTAAAGTCCTGAAAACTAAAAAACATAACAGCAAAGTCAGTTAGCAGCTGTAGCAGAACCACTTACACATTAATGAGGTAGAGAGAGACGGAGCAGATTGTTTCCTCTTGGAGCAGGCAGCTTGATGAGTTGGCCAGTGTTCTTGATGGAGAGTGAATTTTCTCTTCCTAATCTGGTTTGGTCTTATTGATTCTCCTTATTTTTTTCCTAGACCTGGTGGCTAACACAGAGGAACACTTAACTAATTGTCTCTGAAGTACCAGTCTGTGTACTTCGTATGGTGGGAGAGCTAGTTAAACACAAATTAAATTACATCCAGTTAAAAGCAAAAGATCTCCAACATCACTCAGTAAAGAGCTAGCTGTTTGTGGCTTCATTAAACCCAGAAGAAATACAGATATTTCATTTAAGGTTGGAATGAAGCCATAAACAACTCGCCCCTCAATGACACAGCTACACTGGGGCACTCTCATTTCATCTTAATCCAATTCAGAAGTTATTTGTCTCCCCAGTAGGAGTTGTTATTGACTTTGGGAACGATCTTTGCAAGATGAGATTATCCTTGGACAGAAGGAAATAGTATAACATTCCATTCCTGTCCCACCAATCTAAAAACAAAACAGGCTGTTCATACTGCATTCTGCTTTCTAAACTACTTGCTGGGAAACTTACAGTTTTGTGGGAAAAAAAAAATTAGTTTATACAAGTGCCCAAGAATTTACATATGTTTTTGAAAATATTCAACTTTTGGAACTTCTTCAATAATTACACTGGAACATATTGTCTCTACTGTCAAGGACTTAATAGTCCCAGTGGAGAAAGAGAGGTGTAGAAAGATCAAAAAAAAAAAAAAAAAAAGATAGTATGCAGTTATAGCATGCCAAATCTCATTTTAGTCAATAGCTATTGTCCCAGTCTTGACAACATCCTGCATCCCTGGGAAAAAATAGATCAATTTCATTTTCCTACTTTATTTTTTATGCTCATACTCTGAAAGAACTAAAAACTGATAAAAAGGCAAACATTAATGAGAAACTGGAAGAAAGGAGAACAGAAGAACCTAGAGATTCTATAAAGTAAGTTACAAGGCTATAATAACAAGTTAAAAGACAGCTGTAACTGGTAGGTCAATACTAGGAATGGCAGTCTTGAAAATGGCACATGGAAAAGGTAACCCCAAGGCTAAAAGTCTCTGCTCTGTGTGTGTGTGTGTGTGTGTGTGTGTGTGTGTGTGTGTTTAACAGCAGCAAGGCAACTAAGACTAAAGATGATTTTCTGATTTTCTTCCCAGAGCACTCCTCACCCTGTCCCTCAATTCCTTTATTCTTCACATTCAAACCATATGATGACGATTCCCCAGATGTATTTACATACTAGGTACAGCTTGTAACAGCTTCGTTTAATCAACTTGAAATAATTCAGTTTCCCCCTATGAAATAAAATGTGCCTTATTCTTTGATTCATGAATTTGTTTATTAAAATAAGATGGTAGGAAAAGAAGACCACTAAACTCAGTACTGTTGTATATGATCTCAGAAAGGCAACTTACCCCCAAACACCTCTTCAGCTTGCTTCCTGAAATTCTACGTTCAAGAGCTTCATTCTTTACCTGAAACTTTGGTGAGCGAAATGCGTTTGTTCCTAACATTACCACCCTTTCAAATGTTTTCTGTATTAATGAGTTTCAGTTTCAAAACACCATTTGATGTGGCTCCAGTTTCAGGTGAAAAGTCTTGCACTGTCTTAGCATACTTCCTCCTGCTGCACCCGAGCCTGCCTCCATCAAAGCAGATGAAGGAAGAGAGATTAAGCATGGGGCTTAGAAATTAGAACTGGATTATAATCCCAAACTGGATTCAAATCCTAGCTCTACTACTTTCTAGCTGTTGTTTTGGATAAGTTCTTAACCCTTCCAGGCTCATGTTTCCTTATCAGTAAAGTGGGGACAATAATCATATCTATTAGGTAGGGTGGTTATAAAGATTAAATTAGATAAACCATGTAAAGCACTTATCACAGTACCTACCTTGCAGCAAGGATTCAATTCGTATTAGCTTCACTGTTGTTATTATTATTGATTTTTCTATTGTTATTCTTTAGCACTTATCATTTTGTAATCAATCATAATACTCTTATATAATCATTGATTTAATGGTGTTTCTCCCATAGCAACTTGACTATGGGACTGTGTCTTTCTTGACCAGTGTACAGCACAGAGCCTGGAACTATGTAGGCATCTAATAAGTGTTATTTGTTATTGGCTTTTATTTCAAATGAATGAGTGAATTTAATTATGTGGGAGTTGTGGACTAAAGAAAGAAACAATAAAAAATCAGTCTGTACCAATGATGTGTTTCGTTTTTAGTTTAAACTTGATACTCCAGTGTCATTTATCATACATAAAACGTTAAAAATCCATTGAAACGGAAGTCATAGTGTTGATCCTTAATCATTGACTCCAAAGTCACCTTCAAACCTGAGTTCAGTGAGACACGAAAGATAGGATGAAGAACTGGAGGGACAATGGAGAAGGCAAGAGTAGACAATTGAGGACTGCTGATTGGTGGATTAGCATACGAGGTTTCATAAATATGGGGTGGACAGGATTTGCAATTGAAATGATGTCAGGGAAGGGACAGGATCTGATTGATACAGGGTATCCACCTGGAAGGAGTCCCTAGGTGGCACACATTTAACGTTAAGTGCTCGACTACTAGTAGAAAGGTTGGCGGTTCAAAGCCACCCAGAGGTGGCTTGGAAGACAGGGCTGGTTATCTGCTTCTGAAAGGTCACAGCATTTAAAACCCTGTGAAGCACAGTTCTACTCTGATACACATGGGGTTGCCATGAGTTGGAGTCGATTCGATGGCAACTAACAACAACCACATCAGTCTAGAAGGATTTGAGTTCACTGTAATTTCTGATTTTGGCTCCCCTCTGCTGACTTGATCAATATGACAAAGATTTGAATATTTATTTTTGTAAAGCTAATAGCTTTGCCATTGTAAGAAATAATACCTGAATGTACCACTTAAAATGAACATTCCTTTTATGGGACATGGAACTGTCAGGTTGAATGATAAATCCTGGGACATAGCTTTAGAATGACACCACATACTTTATTACCAATGAATTTCCACTTAATTCGTACAGAATCCACTCTCAAATTGTTCAAAGATAGACAGCATGGAACTTCATAAGACAGAGGCATCTTGGAAGTCACCCAAGAGGTTTTATTACTAGACAGTAGAGAAAGTATTCATTTAATACACAAGCCCAAAAAGGGAGCTGTAAGTCAAACATGATGATCAATCTGGATAAGTGTTAAATGTTAGAAATGATGAGAAAAAGTTTCGATTTTTTAAAAAAGCAAGTTTTTTTTTTTTTAACTGTGCTTTAGATGAAGGTTTAAAGAGCAAATTAGTTTCTCATTAAACAATTAATACACATATTGTTTTGTGACATTGGTTGCCAACCCTGTGACTCTCCCCTTCTCAACCTTGGGTTCCCCATTTCCATTCGTCCAACTTTTCTGTCCCCTCCTGCCTTCCTTCTCATCCTTGTCCCTGGGCTGGTGTGCTCATTTAGTCTCTTACACATGGTTGAGCTATGTGTATTATTGTTTGTTTTATGGGTCTGCCTCATCTTTGGCCGAAAGGTGTACCTCCGGAGTGACTTCAATACTGAATTAAAAGGGTGTCTGGGGGCCATACTCTCAGGGTTTCTCCAGTCTCTGCCAGACCAGTAAGCCTGG